TAAAAAAAAATTAATATTATATTTTCAACAGTAAATTGATTTAATTAGATTTGGAAATAAAAGTGTCTCTGTTTAACTAATTTAAAATTAAACCTTATTTTGTTTATTGGAAAACCAATACTTTCGTTTTGGCACACACAATAAATATAAAATTTGATCAATATTCTCCCGTATTGTATGAAAGTCCCACTACAAATCAATTGACAAATCCCGGAACTTAGAGCCATTCAATTAGCCGTAATTAGACGGAAGTTGCCGCTCTGCCATTGAGCATCACTTGTTGCATGAATAATGGCTGCCAATAATAATGCCGTTAACTAGGCAAGGGGCTCAAGTGGGGGGACCGGGGGAACGGAAAAGGATTCTTCGCACACCCCCACAAACCGAGAGCAGTTTTGTTTGCTTTGACAAATACAAGTCGCCTCCTGGAGCCATAATAATATTATTTATGGTCCTCGAGGGGACTTCGCACAACAGAAGGGGAAGCTGGGAAGCGGGAAACGATAGAACTGGCTGACAATTTATAGATGTTTCATTATTATGGTAACGAATAAGGAGCGTGGTCTCAGCCTTTCGCATATAAATTGCATTGATGGAGGGGGTGTGTGGTGGAGAAAAAAGCTTAAAGATGTTTCTCCCTTTTGCTTGTTAGCAACGTTTTTTTCGACTTAGTTCTCTAGCGTTCTTGTTATGTTATCATTGTTTTCAGGTTTTTATACACAGACTTTGTATGTCTTTTTATTGTTTTTACTTGCTTGACTTTTGTAATATGTTCTCAATGTATCTGTGGGTTCTTAGTTTTTCTTTTCTTTAACGCATGTCAAGCATGAAAAGCTTCTTGTTTACGCTTTTCGTATTCTTTTCCTTTAGCTTTTAGCATATGTTTCACTTGTGTTCCAAGCCATTTGTTTGATATTTATAAAATAAAGCAGCTCTGACAAATAAATGTATATTGATGAAGATGTGAAGTCTTGAACATATGTAAACAATTTATTATCAACTTTGGCATATTCAACTTGATGCCTTTTACAGATGGCCGACTTCTAACTTTATAAAATTAGCCAACTAAGAATAAACTTTTAGACCTTAAGCTAAGTTTGGGAGTTGTTAAACCACCTTTAAGCCTCGGGTTAAGTTAACAGGTGAGTAAGCTCAGCTGTGGAGTGGAAGGATGGATATTTATAGTAGGTTAAACTTTCAGGTGGTTTTTAAATGTTATTAGAACAAAGGAAAAACTTCATACCTCGCCAACCTAATTTTATTTGATGTCTATATTGCGAAGCATTTAAAATGTCATTGGTCTGTTCCTGAAATAAAACTCCTAAATATAGAGTCTAACAAAAAAATCGTTACAAAATTAGCTTTACCCTATATTAAATTTTTTAAATGTATATACTTAGAGTAAAGTGGTAAAATGCATTCGTTGAAAAGTGTGTAACAGGTAGGAGGAAGCGTTTATGGCCCTATAACCCTTCATATTCTTGATCAGGATCAATAGCCCACTCGGTCTAGCTATATCCTTCTGTAGAAGAGATTTGTGATTTAGCATGAAGATTTTAGTTATCACTCCGCAGTCCAAAGGCCATAAATCGCGTAACTCTGTAAGGACATGGTAGAGTCCAGTTATTTGAATGTATATGTTGGCACCGCACTTAAAAAAATTAATCACTGAATTCATTATCTTAGAGGTTATTAGCAATTATAAGTGTTATTTAAAGAAAGAAGATGCTCATAGCTTGTGGTATTGGCAGTGCATTTTGACAGATGGCAGAGCTTAACTTTAATAATTTTAAATTTTTAATATATTTTCACAAAATATTTTCGGATTTATAAAATGTCCAATGTGAATTCCTCTGAGGTAATATATTTTTGATGCACCCCTATTAAGAACATACCTTATGAAAAGTCATGTATATGACTAAAACAAAGATCCTTGCAATGGTTTTGCCTTTTAGTTTACAAGTAATCCCTTACAATTACCATAGTTATCCTTGACAATTATTTCCGCACTGAAAACTTTCTAAATGCAGCACACCATGGATCCCTTATAATAATTGCCTAGCCCAAAAAGACCAAAAAAAAAAAAACCAAGCGCCGCCACCTTAATTGCAACCGCCTTTCCTCTAACCAAGTCAACTTTCCTCCAACCAGCACTCAACACTCACTTATTATTAAGTTGTTTTCGAAACTAGCAAGAGGAAAAACAGTACGACGGCGGCAGCTCCCGGCAAAAGTTAAATTATAAAATCGTCAGAAGTTGACGAAGACATTTTGCGCCTATGCAAACAAACACACAAGGAAAGTGCTCGACCAAAAAATGAAGGGAAATGCGGGAGGAAAAGCCACTTAAGATGCTTAGCGCCATGGCAAGCGAAAATAATGACGCTCATAAAAACTAACTAAACACAAAAATAAAGCAAATACATAGGAGACAGTGGGGTGGGGCGGGTTTTTAAGCTGGAACGCTTCTTGAATGACAACGATAATGATGTGCGATAATGTTTGTTGTTATTTCGTTTGCTTTTGTTTATTGTGCTTTTTCATCTCACAATGCTGGAAATAATGATGATGATGAAGATGTTATTGTTTTTTGTTGTTGTGCAAGCTAAGACAACTGTCAAAGTCTTTGCCAAAGGATTAGTTGAGCTGGTGCCTTTCCCGTATTATACCCTGGAATAGGAGTGTGAAAGGGTATGATACTCTTTACATATGTGAACAAAAGATAAATCAAATGTGAATTCTTTAAATGTTTGGTGTCTGTGCCTTATCAAAATAAAATTGAATTCACAACATATTCTGAAAAGCAATTAAGATAAGAACTCACAATTTTATTGGTTTTTTTATACCCTTGCAGAGGGTATTATAATTTTGGTCAAAAGTGTGCAACGCAGTGAAGGAGACATCTCCGACCCTATAAAGTATATATATTCTTGATCAGGATCACCTCCTGAGTTGATATAGCCATGTCCGTCTGTCCGTCTGTCCGTCTGTCCGTCTGTCCGTCTGTCCGTCTGTCCGTCTGTCTGTCCGTCTGTCTGTTTCTACGCGAACTAGTCTCTCAGTTTTAAAGATATCGAACTGAAACTTTGCACACACCCTTCTTTCCTTTGCACGCAGTATATAAGTCGGAACGGCCGGGATCGGCCGACTATATCCTATAGCTGCCATATAACTGAACGATCGGAAATGCCATAACTTTGGTGTTTGTAAAGTAAGGAAGTTGGGATTTTCTATGGGTTTTGTATTTGGCTAATCAATCCGACATGCCGAATTTCATAAGGATCGGCCGACTATATCCTATAGCTGCCATATAACTGAACGATCGGAAATGCCATAACTTTGGTGTTTGTAAAGTTAGGAAGTTGGGATTTTCTATGGGTTTTGTATTTGGCTAATCAATCCGACATGCCGAATTTCATAAGGATCGGCCGACTATATCCTATAGCTGCCATATAACTGAACGATCGGAAATGCCATAACTTTGGTGTTTGTAAAGTTAGAATGTTGGGATTTTCTATGGGTTTTATATTTGGCTAATCAATCCGACATGCCGAATTTCATAAGGATCGGCCGACTATATCCTATAGCTGCCATATAACTGATTGATCGGAAATGCAATAACTTTGGTGTTTTTAAAGTTAGGAAGTTGGGATTTTTTATGAGTATTAAGAATGCATCATATGAATAATTTTGGGGAATATATTTTACAGAGTATTCTGCAAGGGTATATCAACTTCGGCTCCGCCCGAAGTTAGCTTTCCTTTCTTGTTTTTAATTTTTTCGCATAACATGTTTTTTTATTAAATAAATACACAATATTTTTTTTTGCGAAATTTTTAAAATAAGGTTCATTACATAATTGGAGTAGTGCTTGAAAAATTGTAGATCAATACCTAACCTTTTAAGTTATCGAAAAAATGTTTTTTTAAATCCTACATTTTTAAATAAGTTACTACAGAACACAAGATTACATTTTTGTAATAAGTGACAAATGATGTAATGTGTTTTTAAAAACATTAAATAATAAAAAAAAAGATTTGGTTATGTGGTTCGGCCTGTCGAAATATGCTTTACATCTTGTTCAGATAAATTGTTAGAATCAAAAGGAAGATGAAGAATATAAATTCATTGCAACAATGGAAAACATAGACTAATATGGATTTGGATCCTGTAGATGTTATTATGTTAGTGCAACCGGCCTTATTAAAAATTAGTTTCATAATAAATGTTATGGATAAAATACCAATTAAATCTTTAAAAAAAGGTAAAAATGATTCCAAGTACTGGACACTTTTACAGTCGAATCGAACTCCCACATCTTCCTAACTGGTTTCCTTAGCGCCTTTCCATTACTTTCGTCCTGCTCTTATCACAGTCGTAATTAAAATTGCAGCAGACGTAGTGAAGTTTTGTTCTTCCTTCGAAACCAGCTTCCCTTACTTCTCTCCGTTTTCTATTTAATCTCTTTGACTGCCTGCTGGTTGTAATTTATTTATTGCCGAAAATCATTCCCACTCTTGATTTCTCTCTCCTTGTTGTTGTATTTTTTAATTGATTAGAAACGCGAGTTTTGTTTTGTTTCTTTGCGTTCAATTGGAATCAAGCCAGGAAATTTTCAGCCTCATTGAATTTCTTTGGGTTTTTTTGCTCACCCTTTTGACTTTCTTTTTTGACTTGCCAATTTTAGCAAATGACTTTCTTGGCAAAACTTTTATATTTGTTGATTCATTTATTTTTAATGTCAATCGTTCGGTAGGCTCATCGAACTAATGAATGAATACATTTTGTATTATCTGAAACTTTGTTTCACCTTCGTGATCTTAGACAATTTATTGACCGAAAAAATATAATGGTTTTACTTTAACTAATTAAACTAAATTTTTTATTAAAAACAAGACAAAAACAACAATTTCGATCAAAGTTGGCTTGGCGGCTGATCTCAGAGAATGTCAAAAAGTTTCAATATTGAAAAAAAAAATTTTAGTTGTAGTGTTTCTAAATCAGATTGTGTAGCGTACATATAATTTTATAAAAGTTCATCAATTTCGGCTTCTTGGTGGCAAAATTCTCAATGTATTAACTTTTCGGCCGTACCGCGTCACGTTTCATTCTTTTATTAATAAAAATAAAAAATCCACAAAAAAATATATAAAGTAGTTCGCCTCACAAAACTACAAATGAAATAGCCCAGTTCTCCTCTTTCGGCTACAAATATTACAAGTGTAAAGAGAAAAAAAAAGAAGAAATATCACAAATTCCTGCAGCAAGTGAAATAGGTGAGTGCGAGAAAGTTGCTCAAGTGTCGAGACCTAAAGCGGATATTGTAGTTGTCGTTGGAGTGAATGGGGGAGTGGATCCTGTGTGGGGGTGAACGACAGGGTTCTTGGGGTCCCGACTGCATGACAGATTATCGCAAGGAGCTCTTCGTCCTTTGAGTGTTCTCAACAGTTATTGAAATTGCTGCAATTGAGTTCGGAGAACTCGAGGCTATTTAATTGCTGCCTGCCTCCCAAAACTTGGTTTACTATTTTTGGTGGTGATGGACCAAAAGTGGTCGAAAAACATCAAAATGAAAAAAATAATGAATCATCGAAGAGTATATTTTTAATACAAAAAATACTTTTACTTAGTTCGAGCGAAGATCCAACATTTTATTTTCTAAAGCAGGCTGAGAAAAAAATGTATTTGTATTTCTGATATCTGACTTAAATAATAACCATTGATTGTATGAAATCAAAACAATAAAATTCATTGCAGGTAAAAAATACAAATATATTAAAAAAAAGATTCGTTTTAACTTGTGGTGGTTTTAAGACAAGTATTTGTTTCAGTAGAAATCGCATTACATTCGACATATATTGATAGTTTGGGAGAATGTTCCAGTTTTAATTGATGGGCTTCCGAAAAGTTAATATTGCAGCGTAACCGTCCTGAAATCAGTTTTGCTGTGTTCGACAGCTAGGCTTAACATATTTAACATATCCGTGGTTCTAAATGATAAAAGCTACTTCCATTCTATATGTCGGAAAAAAGGTATTTGAATATACATTTATATATTAAGTAAAAATGGGAACTAACGTTACCTGGAAATGCATTCAAATACCTCAATTGTTATATAATTAGGATCGCCTAATAATAATAGTTTAAAAACCGAAATAAAAACTTGGTGATCTTACTAAATGAAAAAGCTTAAAATTAAATAATACCCACTCTGTACAAATGGTGTAAAAATTAAAAATGAGCTCCTTTTGAAGAAATTTTTCCGTATTGCAATTTAATTTAAAAATCAAATTATTTTTTCTGTGCAGTATTAAAAGACTCCTTCATTGCTAACTATTCAATCCCTCGTGCGCAATCGAAGCTTTTGGCCATCACTAGTTGGGGTCAATAAGGAAGGAGAGCGGCAGGAGCAAGAGGTCCTTCTATACCCGCAGGTGTTGTAAGCCAGCAACGAGTCCTGGACCTGAGCCAAAGCTGCTTTCTCTCAAGTGCTAACTAATTTCGTTGTTGTCCTTACCGCGTCCGCTCCATGTCCCTGCCCCAAGAATATTCTCTGCATCCTCAAGCTTAGCCTCATTCCCAGGTTCATCCTCGTTCCAAGGCTCATCCTCATCATCGGCGTCTTCCTGCAGTTTCGTTTTTGGTGTCAGCAACATTTCTTCAATTGGTTTCGTTTGCCTGCCCCTCCGTGCTGTTGTCCTTTTTGGTCCTCCGTTTCCTTTATAGAGTTTTATGCGATTTTCTCTTTTTTGTTTTTGATTTTTCTGTATTGCAATCTTTTGGCAAACTCTCGTGTGGCGCACAGTTGTTGACTCTGTTTCGGGGCCAGGCCAATTCCTTTCTGGCCCTGGCCAAGTCAACTCTTGGCTTGTTTCTGCTTTTTATGCACTTGTGCTCCTTTCCCATTTCTCCCTTCCCCAAAAACGCTCTTCCCATATGATCTGGCTTCTGTTCTGCATTTTTATGGCCGTCGTCTCAGTTGTCCTTGCTACCTTGGCCAAAAGTTAAGTTTCTTTCGGAGAGAACATGTCTCATTTGGATCGTAACACTTAGCTTAATGTTTATGTTATATGCTATGAAGAAAGTTTCGTCCGAAGTGAAATAGGAGGTTTTATAGTTGAGTTGGCGAGTATTTTCGAGAATAATAAAGTTTCGAAGGATACACTTAAAGTGTTGCAATAAACTGTTTAATTAACCAAATGTAAAATACATTAATACAGCTAATCATATTTAAATAGTATTAGAAATACAAAACAAGTCAGAAGTAAAGATTATTTTCCTTCAAGGAAAAATTTTTAGGAATACAAAATAAAATCTAGGATTTAATTATCACAATCTTGATCACTTACAGAAATACATATGTACATATGCTAATACACACATATAGCAAAGTATATCAATTTCTTAATGAGAGCTTTAATATAAAAGCTTTTGTATTGAAGCTTTAAGTTTGTAACTTTTACTTGAAAGCTTTTTTTCATGATCAGCTGTTTGTCTATTCAGCGCATGTGCTTCAGTTCGGGGTGAATGCCAAAAAAACAGCTGATCACAGCGTGGCAGAGCGTAAAAGTGAAAAACTCTCTTAGTTTTATCGGAGTCGGAGCAGTTTCCCCTAATTTCTGACTGCGAAAGTGATGTTGCTTTGGTGTAAGACGGCTGCTTGCTGATTTAAAAGTGTAAAATAACTTCAAAGCGTTAGTTTTCGCAATAACCTTGTAAAACGTGAGTTTGTAAATAGTCTCTGCACCACAGCATCTTAAATAAAGTTATTTTATACTAGGTTGACCGGCATAACAAAGAGAACCCATCGTTTACACGGAGTACGACCTACAATTGTTAACCGATCTTCACGTTACTCGCGGATCTGAAATTTGGATGATTGATGGGGTTTACTAAAAGTGCAAAAAGTCTGGCTGTTTCTTACTTACGAAACAAAATATTTCACAGAAGTTCAACTCAGGATAGAGTTTCATTTTTGACCAGATTTTATAGCAATTCTTGCTCTATCAATATGGATAAAGTGTACTTTCGAAATGCAAGTGATAGCAAGGACCTTGATATTGTTTTTCGGTTTGTGAACACCAACTTGAATATTAATCGTGAATTCAATTTTCGTCGTCAAATGAACGAACCTATTAATGCTATATTGGCCAGGATTCAGAGCAATATCCAAAGTAGGCTTGCAAAACTATACAAAAAATCCGGTAAACCCCCGGCAGAGATTAATGTAAAGCTTTATAGCGATAGTTACGATGGAAACTTCAATGAAATGACATTTGATGAACTTTTCACGAAAGATATCACTGGACTTAAACTGCAGGTGGTAGATACTGTATACGACATGGTTTTTAACCCACCGTGGATTTCATCCCTTAAACTGCCTTCGTGTATATTAGCAGGATTCGTGGTCTATCCGACTAACGTGCAGATTCAATTCGGTCAACGTCGGCACAGTAAGGGATTATGGTATAAGGCAAAACAGCCCACAGATGCTGAATGGGAACTATGTGGAGAAGGATTTCAGTATCTAGTGACGCCTCAAGATGTCGCCTATTACCTTAAGTTTGCATTAACCCCGAGAAATGAACAGGGAGTGGATGGTCCTGTAGTGGAAAAGGTATCAGTTTCTGCGGTACAGCCTGCGCCCGGAATTTGCCCATTTCAAATGCGCCACCGCCACACTCCGAATTATTTAAGAGACCCCAATGAAATTCGGGTGGTGACCTACAATCTATTGGCTGACTTGTATGCGAGCAGTGATTACGCAGGATCAACCTTGTTTTCATATTGCCCATCCAAATATCTGCAAATCGACTATAGAAAACCACTATTTATTAACGAAATCATTGGATATAACTCTGATCTCATCTGCCTACAAGAGGTCGATCAACGGATATTTGATTTTGACTTAAAGGAGATTCTAGAACAACCTCCGTTCAATTTTCAGGGTATCCACGCCCCGAAAGGCAGTTGTGCAGAAGGAGTTGCCATTTTCTTTAGAACATCCCGCTTTGAATTACTAGACTCTAAAGTAACGCATTTGGGATCTTGTATCTCTGAACTGCCCGTGTTTGAAAGCCTTTGGAATCAAATCAAAGAGAATACTCAATTGGCAAAACGTATTTGTGATCGGTCCACAACTCTACAAACATGTTTGCTAAGGGTAAAGGAAACCGACAAATATGTTCTTGTTGCCAACACGCATTTATATTTTCACCCAGATGCAGATCACATCAGACTTTTGCAAACGGGTTTTTCAATGCTTTTTATAGAGCACCTAATAACTCAAGCTGTTAAGGATTTCAATATCTGTAGCCGTCAAAATATTGGACTGATATTTTGTGGCGATTTTAATAGTGTTCCCGAATGTGGAATATACAAGTTAATGACAGAGCAAGTCGCGGATGAAAGTCTGGAGGATTGGCGCAGTAATTCTGAAGAGGCCGTTTCAAATGTTCAGCTTTCACAACCATTCAAAATGGTCTCGGCATGTGGAGCACCAGAGTACACACACTACACCACTCTATTTTCGGGATGTTTGGACTACATATTCTACCAAAACGACTGCTTTGAATTGAAACGGTATGTTCCTTTGCCAACGGAGGACCAGTTAAAGGCTGATGCTGGCATTCCATCAGCTGTATTCCCATCAGATCATGTTGCTCTTGTAGCCGATCTTAGATTTAAGTCAGAGTCTTGAATAAATATTTTAAGGGAATTTGAGGCTTGATAATACTTAAATTATTTTAATAACTCGGGTATTTCAAAAATGTAGATCATTATGAATCCCAAATTCTTTTGCAAATCAAATTTGTATATTTAAATCTAACCTTAAAGAAATAAATATTAACCGTTTTCAAATCCATTTTAAAAAAGTTTTTATTACATTTTTTTTTCTTTTTATGTTTTGCAAATCCTTATAAAGTAGTAGTTGTATGTTTTATAATCCATGGAATATCAAAAATAAGGAAATTAATGTATACGATAAAAAAAACAAAGAATGTGTTGGCAAAACAAACCGAAATAAATTGCGGAATAAAGTGACAACAAATTGAGTAAATCCCTGAGTGGCTTAGCTCGCTTGCAAGCTGCTGCCTTTCCCTGATTCTGCTCCTGTTTTCCGGCTGATTGCAGGACGCAGAGCAATTAACGTGAAAATTCGCCAAGGAAAAACCTTTCGACTAGGAGGTGGCAACAACAAAAAAGCTTAAAAGAAAACTGAAAGAGGAAAAAATATCCCAAGCCAACTGAAGTGATTTTCGCACTAATTAACTGCACTTAGTTGACACATACCAATCTATTCACACCGCCACTCCCCACAACGTTGTCGTTTGCCATAATCAGAGCCAGTGCAGCATTTTAATTGGTTTCCACAGTGCTGCCAATATAAAGTCCCACATGTGCAATCGGAATTTTCCACAGAAATTATTAGAAAGCGAGTGAAATGTGTCTCGATGTGCGCCGCATTGGTGGTTGAAGTAATAGTTCTTAAATTATAATGTTGTCTGTGTGTGGAGGTTTGCATTATTAATATTAAGGCATTGCCAATGTCTAAAAGATAATAATAATAAAATTACACAGAAATGGAGAAAACCCTATTAATCTAACTCTCTAAAATTTTATTCTTCAGTTGGATTTTTATTAGTTATAGTTTGTTTTATTTTTTATGGTTTCAATTTACCATCTTTTAAAAAATATTTTTTATAGTATGAATTTACCATCTTTAAAAATATTTTTTATGGTTGGACTTACCATCTTTTTTAAAAAAAAGTATCAAATAAACCTGATATTTATTTTCAGATACCGAAATGCTATTAACTTGCCCATAGCTGTTTGAGTAAGGGTGGTGTTGTATAAGCCCTGCAACTCTATAATTACGTGGGACCCGTGTTGACAACTAACTCTTTGCCATGGGGAAAAGGGAAGCTTTGCTTTCAATTCTCGGTTCGGTTTGGTTTGCTTTAGCTCCTCATTTTCCTCATATGAGTCACATTGTTATTGCACTTCAAAGTGAATTCGCTTGATTTACTTCTGATTTTCTATAGTAACATGGAAATGATGAATTCAAAAAACCTTAATGAGTTGTGGGTATGGTTAAAAATTTGCATAGTTCTGAATGGTTGCTTTCTATTTCTATAAATATTCGCTTTTATAAGCAATCAGTATAGTTGTTGCTTATTCTTTTTTATTTACTTACTGCGTTCACTTTATGACTGATACATTAGAACTCTGTATAAGTATTTTCCAAATAAGCTTGCGAAAACTGGATGCCAAATTGTTTTTCTTATAATAAGCCATATTTATGCCCAAAAAGTAATCCCATATTTATTTGAAAATACATATTTATATTTAACTTATTAAGCAAAGCCCTATGACTTCATAAAAAAATGCCAGAAAATTACCTCCGTCCAAGGGTCAGTCGCCAGGACATTTTATTTACTTTGTTGATTAAGCTAAAATGGCATAACAGCAGGGAGAGAGAGATCATCCAAGTGGCAAAGTTACGAGGCAACTGCCAAGGACAAAGCCCTGCACAAAAACTCCCAAAAAAATAAAAAAGCAATGGAGAAAAGCAAACGGAAGCATACGGAAATGCCAAGAGCGTGGATTACATTAACGCAGTATTTTCATAGACGAGGGTGTAAGAAGTGTGTAGGGATGGATGGGGCTAACGGGGGGAGGGGTTTGGGTGGAGGGGTGGAGGGTGCGAGTTGGCAAATTAAACGCCCACTTAATCTCGGCCGGGTCAACTTGTGACACGAAACTCATTTGGTGGGGAAGGTGCTCAGGAATGCTGAGTGGACAAGTATGGTACAGAGTCACTCGGGGTTTAAACTTCAAATTTTTTAACTTTTTCCTAATTTATTGTCAATTTGAACTGATTTTCGAACAAGTTAAGGAATTTTATTAATCAAGATATTTTTATAGGTTTCGTTAAACCATGAGTAGATCTTCAGATTCAAACATGTTTGGTTACAATAAAAAAATCTTTGAATCTCTTGGGGAGGCCGTAAAACATATTTAATATTCGGTATATCAAAATAGTAGTTATATTATTTTATTCTTTTTAAAAAAGTTAATTTGCGTTTCTTTATATACTAGTTAAAGTATTATTATATTTAAAGGTAAAGCTTTTAATATAATAAAAATATAAATATTTTTTTCATCAACAAATTGTTAATAAAAATGGTGTTTCATTTACAAAATGCAATTTTCAAGAGTTATAAACATCTGGTATAACCATAAACTTGTAGATGTTTGCTTTACGCCAGTAAACACCGTAACTCTAAAATTTGTAGGGTCTTTTGGGAGATGACAGGGGATAAAGGTGGCTCGCAGTGTTTGGCAAGTTCAGGGACATCGCCAGGGGACAGTGTCAAGATCAAGTCTGCGCCCCCTCCCATTCATCCACCCCCCAGAGGTCTAGTCAGTTTCAATTAATTTCACGGCGAAGGGCGACACTGGCTGGGAAACTAAAGAAAAACAGTTTTCCAGGCACTTTTGTGTCAAAAAGTTGTCGTCGCGACATTTCTACTGTGTCTCGGCTGCGTTTCCCTTTGCTCAGATTCGTCCCCTGATTTCTTCATTTCCCCAGTCAGTTCTAGTCCTCGGAATGTTTTTATTTTATTTTTTTTTCTCGAGTGCAGGAAATGCGTACTTCCTGTTTGTTGTCTCAGCAAGCTTTGGCATATTTGCGTGCTTCAGTCCTGTCTCTTTCTCGCCTTTTGGCCGCCTGTTTTTCATCTCCCCTACGGTTTTCCTTTATCTCTGTGCGAGTTTGAGGGACAATGAATGCACTTGGACCGTCTCTGTCTGCGATTCTCCTTTTCCTTCGTTGGGGTCACCCCAATAACTTTTTATTTTTTTGATGTCTCCTTCGATTACCCTGTACTGGATATTGAACAAGTAATATTTTATAGTTTTGTAAAAAAATGCTATATTTATTAATTGAAGCCACAAGAAATATTTAATTGGTTTTTTGTATTAATACATTTTAGTAAGATTTTGTGTTTGTCAGGAAGACAATCTATAAACAGTTCTATCAGTTATTATAAATATTTATACAAATTATACAAATTTATATATCTCAATAAATCACTTCCATTTTAATAATAATACTTGTATTTAGGAAACCCGAATTCTTGAAAATAAACTTCCAGGAATCTCGTAGTCGAAATATGGACTTCTAGTCCTGTTTTCCTTGAGGATGCATGGGGCGGGAAATGTCTGGGCTCAATGCACTGCCCGATGCGTTGGTTTTGTTAAAAACTTGCTACCATTTATCTGTTTTGTGTACATGTGTGTGTGGAGACGGTTCATCCTTCGGCTTCTTCCTCCAATTCAATCCCTTATTCCCCTGGTGTGGCAGTTTCATCCGCTTGCTCTTCCTTTTCAAGGGTGCATTGATATTTTTTGTAAAAGGCCATGTAAAACCATTTTTTCGGCAGCAGCTTATTGGAATGGATAGATTGGGAAAAAAGGAAAGGCCTCTGGAAATTCACTTCACTTTTTGTCGCATTAAAAAAGCCACCTAAGCTTTGAAGTTTACTGTCGAGCAGTTTGTTTTTCTTATATACGAACAGTAAATGGTTAGTTTAATTTAATTAACTCTTTTAAAAAGCAAATATATTTTATGCATTTTATTTCGTTAAGAACTCTCTATACTCAAATCAAAATTGGTAGGTGTTGTCATAGGCCAGTCACATAAATAGCGTCATTGCGTAAACATCCCTGGGCTAAGTTTGTAGGTCGATGGAGTTCGGATCTCTGAAAAGGAGTGGATACCCTTATGAGCCTTTGTCCATGTTCATAAACATGTATATGAGAGTGACTCCTTCACTGCCTCTTTCCCCCACTAACTTCTACCAAAGACCAATATAATCACTAAGATGCGTAACGCCCATACATTGGTTTTGCAATATGCAACTCGTTTTTTGGTGGCGACGAAAATTCCGCTCTCTCCGCTCGCACAAAGTTGAGAGCGTAAAAATCTAAAAATAGAATTGCACGAATAAGGAAGTGCGTATGTGTGCGTATTTGTTCGAGAAGACGATTTTCGTCCAGAAATCATTTCTGGACTAAGAAACTAATTGTGTGTCAAAAGAATTTCTATGATTGAACAGGATGATTATTTAAATTGCATTTATGTATATATGGCAATGAAGCTTGATGTAAAACTTTTTTATATACCTTAAATATTAATATCTGCATATTTAAATCATAGTTTCGTTTTACATATTTAAATTAAAGCTAAAAACATAACTTTTAATACAAAACATATAAAACTGCTTGATTAAATTTTAAAATATTTCAATAAAGTTTAATATATTTGAATATACTATGATTGTTAAACAAAAACAAAGCGAAGTTTATTTAAATTGAATATATTTAAAGGATATTAAATTAAATATATGTCGCTTTATTTTTTATCCATGGCAGTTTTTATTAACTTTAAAATGGAAATATTAAATTTTATTTTTATTCAAATATATTAAATTATGATCTAATGACTTAAAATATTTAAAGTAAATACGAATAACATCATATCTAATATTATCAACCTGCACTTAAATCTATTCTTATTTACTTAAGCAGTTTTATATGTTTTGTGTTAAAAGGTATAATTAATTTAAATATATAAAACGAAAAATTTAATTTAATATTCAGATATTCATTTTTATTTATCCATCTTTTTTTTTTGTATACCTAATAAATATTTAAAGCTCATATTATTATTTTATAAAAAGTTAAACTATTTATATAATATAATATTATATAATACGTATAATATAAAAATACCACATATATTTTAATCCATATATTTAAAATTCAATAAATATAAAAATATTCATCCTGTTCAATCGCAAAATTTCTGAGGCTCCTAAAAATCGTTCACAAGTCGTATGCTGAATACCCTAATGACAATTATTCCAATGTGAAGTCATGTATGAAATAAATTATGTTATTTTTTTATACTTAGATATATTTGGTCATTATATAAAATAAAATATTATACATTCGAATAATTAGTAAATAAAGTAAATATAAAGGCAATACAAAATAAGTATTTTTAATAATGTTATAATTTTAAAATAAAGAGTATATTTCGACAGCGCGCTGCAGCGAATTTCTTCGCTTGTGAATACATGTGCACACATACATTCGTCGACTGTCGCAGTATGCGTGCAAAGAGCGGCTGGCTTTTGAGCCCTCTCTCGCTGCCTTTTGGGCAGAGAGCGAAAAGCCAGTTGAAAAGCCAGCACAAAAAATTCGTGTGCAAAAAAATCGTATGGCGTTACGCATCTTGGTGTTTATATTGGTCTTTGCTTCTACTCTATTGACGAGGTGGGTAGGCAGTCACATCATAGAGACGAAACAACGACACATTTTCGACAGACTTCAAACAACAAGTACAACAATATGAGCAACAAGCGGCGACCACAAACGCAAAGTTCTTCGCGTCAACTTAATGGAGTTCGGCAAAATGCCACCCAAATAAGAGAATTATCTTGTCTACAAAAAGACGAATTTTAGGTGCTCTATTGTAGAAAATTTATTCTTCTCACTATCACAAATT